TCTTGGAGCAAAGAGGCTCCTCGTAGTAATCCACTTGCGACCGTCCTCTTACTTCCGATAAGCCAGGTTATTTATCGTTCCTATTACCATCGAATTTACCCTAGGGACTTGGCCATAGTGAGACGGCTAGACAGCGGCGGGCTCGGGCAGGGTACTACTACTGTACATCATTAGCTACCCTGACTAAATTGCGCTAGGCACTTCAAGAGTACATAGAGTACTACTAGTGGTACCGCGGTACGGAGTACTACTTGCTTGCTCGGACCTGGAATTGGGTGCTGACAAAAGCGGAATAGAACTGGATGGGGACGTTGACCGCATGATTGGCTGCTGCTTAGTGAGCCAAGGTCTTAGTAGTATGACGGGTAGTACCCAGCATTTATAATCTTACTACTAGTAGACAAAAGTATCTGATGTGCTAATACCTTCAAAAATGTTCTCAAGAGCGGCTTTCTCGTCGGTAAGGTCAAACCATGTTTTATGCTTTATTCATGAATATCACACTCAGTTGATTACCCATGACCTTTCACAAGCTGACGCAGACCAAAACAGGCATTCCGACCGCTTTCGCGGCCACAGTCGTTGTCACTACGACCCTATGGTATTCAATTACCATCTACCCTTTACGCTCGACTACTCTCTTCTGAGACGAAATCGGCAATTGATAAAGCCATTGCATCTGCCCCGGTTGTCCTTTTCATGAAGGGTACCCCCGAAACTCCTCAGTGTGGCTTTTCGCGAGCAAGTATCCAGATCTTGGGCTTGCAAGGGGTTGATCCCAAGAAGTTTGTCGCATTCAACGTGCTGGAGGATGCTGAATTGCGTCAAGGTATGTCCTGACATTGACACTCACAAGATCGTTGACGCTTCAATTGGGTTCACGTTCATTAACTAGTGTTTCTGTTTAGGTATCAAAGAATACTCCGACTGGCCAACCATCCCACAGTTATATTTGGATAAGGAGTTTGTTGGTGGCTGTGATATTCTAATGTCGATGCATCAAAACGGGGAACTCGCAAAATTGCTAGAAGAGAAGAATGTTCTGGTGGCGGCTGACTAACTCGAAGCATAGATGCTCAGGTCAAAAAAAAAATAAAATAAAATAGGTAAAAGGAGGGGGGGGAGGGGGGAGAACTGTGTGTAGTAGATTTGTTTATGTAAAGCAATACGGTAGCTTGTGAGGGTTAACTGTTCTATCAGGTATCTGCGTCGAAACCAGCTAGAGCTGAAGATATACTGTCCAACCAAGCATGAGTAATATGAGTTAATACTCTTCCCTTACAGGTTCAGTCTTTATTATGTGAACCAAGTCATACAAATCAATCAACGAGTGTTAACAATGCTTACATCTCGCACATACCGTGGTGTGGATCAGAGTTGCTCGCCTAATGTATTGAGTCTTCCTTAGCCTTCGCCAGCTCTTCAATGACTCCCTTCTGCAACTTCGCCCGCTGTCTCTCTTCATAAGCCTCACGGCTTTTTAGGATCCTCCCAACTATTTCGCCGGCATTCACATGCTGGAAATCATGGCTACCTGTCTCTCTGAAAATGCTCATTCTTTTAGGGGCGGTGTAAGGATCATATGTAAGTGGAATAAATGTAGTCGGTCCATGATAAACAGCATCCGGGACACCTAAGGGCATTGCTCTTAGGTAGGGCTCACTGGGTGAGAAAGGAGCAGAGAATATGACGGCATGGATATACTAGGGGCAGTTAATAAGACGACCGGGGTGATTACCAGCACTAGCAGAGGGGCATGGCTTACACGACACTGAAGAACACAAAGTCCGCGCTCAAATATGTTCATGATAGGGTAATTGAAGCCCTTCCAATGATTGATTACACCATCATCATGGATGCCCGCAATGACATAAGCCGGGCCATAATCTTCTCCATATTCCCTGAGTCTTTTCTCTCTCACTTCAGGGTCGTACCAGCCACGCTGACGACCTTCCATTTCCTCGCGTGCCAAAACCCGTCTAAGAAATTCAATATGTCCAGAAGAGAACAGGTCAAAGCCTCCATCAACATAAACAATTCGTTGTCCTGGTCTAGTCGGCTTTCCAGCTGAAATTGTTTCGAATAATCCAGGCTCTTCCGTAGTATTGTCAAGCTTGGCAGAACTCGAGCCAGCCCAGATCCATACTGGAGAGCCAGGCCGCAAACCAGTCTCGTCAGTGGCATAATCGCGAATTCTTTGCATAAGGTTAGCGGCAGCTAACTGCCGTTCCTCTTGATTCCCAGATCCTTCCTCGCCAGTAAGTGTACCTTTCACATTTTTGACAAAGTGTCCCTTCGTGCACAAGAGCATACGGCCGACTAAGTCAGTAGTGGAGATTCCAGGTGTCCTTTTTACCACACGAAATCGCCCCGCAGCCTTCACAAATCGATAGCAATCGTCACCGTTGCTATCAGATGTAATATCATCCCCATGGACAACATATTTGCAACCATAATGAGACACCCATGGTAACTGTGTCACATATGGAGCATGGGGAACACAACAAGTTACCCATCGACATGCTTCAACGGCAGATACACTAAATATACGAGGAATCAGGATCAGCAAGCTAATCCGCAAAAGAGATGATGAATTGAGCTACTCACCGCTCAGTCAAAGTCATCACAGTTGGGCCTTTGTTCTCGAGTATCGCTTTATCAGAATGCACACCAACATAGAGTTCCTTTCCCAATCTACGTGCCTGAAGCATAGCACCCGCATGCCCTGTATTTCTCATCTTAAATTAGAGTCCGGTATCAGACATGTAAGCAGATTTCGCTTCTCACCGTGATGACTGAAGTCAAAGCATCCATCCACCCATATACGGTCTTCAGCAATCGGTACATCATATTGAGGGTCAACTGGCCATTGCCCTGGCAGGGGGACAGGATCGTCGTTGGAAGGACTCATTCTTTTTTTTTTCCCTCTCTGTTTTGGTGCGGGGTACTAGAAAGAGGCGAGAAGTACTTGCTGTCAGCAATTGATGATTAGCAAAATAATTATTATTTTATAGTAATTGTCCTCCTGCCATTCTTTAGAAATGCCCTTACACCAGGAGGAGTGCGGAATAGGTAGATAGGTGGGGTGAATACAAAATAAGAGTGATTTCAATTCAGCGCTGGTAATAGACCGAAAAGGGAACTATCAACCATAATTGAAGTGTTGAAGAGGGGGAGGGGCGTACGTTCATAGGAAGGCCCAAGGGCCACGGGGTTGCGGAGAATGTCCGCAATACCTACTGGTAACTACGTAACGTGTACCTTTTCATTTAAATTTTGTAAATACCCACTAGGGGTGATTGATGTTCGTACCAACTAATTCTTATGCCCAGCACATACAGTACCGCTCCATTATACTCTACGAAAACGGAGTATATATAATTATATCAGAAAATGCCAATTGTTCGCTGGCTATATACGTGATAATTAGAATATTCAAGTGGGTTGCTCTTCATCACTCTGTGCTACCAGCCACTTGTCGAACCAGCAGGGGGTTCGTTGGTTAAATAGTGGAGTACAAATCGTAAATCTTATCGGGTGTAATTAAATTAAATCACATTTATCAGTGAAAGTTGTGGTACGCTGTACGGCACGTTATTACTCCAACTTCTTATCCTAGATGACAGCAAGCCACTAAGCCTGCTTTGTTCGGACTCCAACAGAGGGTAGACTTCTGCCTACTTTGACCCTCCTTCTGTCTTTCCTAGTTCTTCCGTTGAACATGTCGAACATGATCTCGTCCACCTTTGCCCCTACCTTGACTCGCAGAGACACTGGCAAATCGAGCATAGGCCACGAGACCACAGTTGGTTCTCTCCCTCCACCGCTAACCAGTGGAGGGGGTTCATTCGGGCCACAGAGCGCTGCAGCAATCTATCAGCATATTCATGATATGGCTACAAAGCGAATATCAACTTTAGATTATTTAAGAAAGGCGTCAGTCCATTATGGTTTTGAGAGAAACATGAACTAGGCACGAGTCGCTGACGGCTTTTCAGGCACGAAGGCCGCATTTACTGGTTCAATACTGTACACTTTTCTCGGGCTGATATCGGTCGAATTCCTTACTTCGAAGCCCGCAAGCTTTCTCGCCGTGCGATAAATTACCTTCTCCTAGGCTTATCACTCCCGCCAATTCTAGACGTCAGCTCGACCCCTGTTGAATATCTGCGGGCACTCAATGCACTTTTGATTGAATTTGAAGCATTCCAGCAAGTGCATCCTCCTGATGGAAGCTCCTCCTCAACACTTGCTAGAGCACGGATACCACAGATGTTAAAGAGAGCGGCGCACGCGGGAACCAAGACTAGAAGAGCTAGTTCTGCCACCGAGATCGGTCTACCCATGCAGTCTAGCGACCCATCTGAATTAAAGGCCATGACAGGTAATATAACCTCGTCTGCTTCAGCAGCAGCCGCTGCTATCTCTTTTCCCCACACTGAAGCGTCGGAGCTTCTCCCTGGCGAAGAGTATTCCTATCTCCTGACGCCATCCTTACCGTTTGAACCAGATTATTTTGAAACGTTCGTAACTTTATGCGACGTGCTGATAGACTGCTATACTCGACTTATATCTTTGGTTCCAACCCCTTCCGTTTGTACTGTTGCACTGGGTGAGATGTTCTCCAAGGCCGATGCTAAGCTTCGAAAGATCATGGTAGCAGGGGTTGTACGGGAATTTGAGGATGCGAGCCGGATGAATGCAAAGAATGAAGTCTCGGGGGTAAGCCGCGTTGTCCTCGGGGGTCTTTTAGGTTAACTACGGGCACGTCTCAATACTTAACCTAAACGATATCATCTATAAATAAGTGCTCCTACCTAGTATTACCCTGCGGAGGCTTCATTCTGTTGATTTTAGCCATCATCGATAACGGCAGAAACGAGGTATCACAATCATTTGCTACCCTTCAAGTAACCGTGTAACATATACGTTTCACGATCCCAGAGCAGCACAAGCTAATAAAAAAGGAAACTTTTGAGGGGCATATGCCTCGCAAGAAACAGTGCGTTATAACCATACAGTCAGTCATCGCTAGTCAAACAATCGATAAGTATTGAACAAGCCAAATCAAGCCATGCCGCCAACAAGGGAAAAAAGAGGAATCATAAGAAACAGAACACGACTAAGAACGCCAAATTGCACCCTACGCTTGGAAACAATCAGAAATGACGCCGGTATATGCAATTGCCCCATTTTATAGTGCTGAATTCCAGACTTGCATGGATATAGAACACTGGACAAGTCATGACTGAAGTTTGTCGTTCTCACGCTCACGTTGTTCACCGAATACCCGTCGGCTCATTTCAAGAACGGCCTCAAACCCTTCTCGACCCCTTTTGGCGTTTTGACTGAATCTCTCCACACTTGCCTCTTCTACCTTATTCTTGATCTTTTGCCACCCGCCGCAGAGTGCAGTGATCTTTGCTTCCTGGTTGAAATTCGTGGTACAAGTCGGCTTCGCTGAGGATGGTTGATAGGTGACAGTCTCTTGAACATTCAGAACATTGGACCATGTGAGGTTGGTCGAGCACATTATAACTTTCTTCGATTTCGGATCAACGTAGGAAATCTCGTAAACATGCGAAGTAGCGCTTCCTCCGAAAAGAGAAAGAACCCATTGCGGTACTGATTGATCACATGTGATAAGACGCTCTGTGCGCAACTACAATGATACAGAAGTTAGTCGCCCTAACGATCTTTTGGTAGCGGTGATTAAGCAGGCCAACATACGATACCAGTTTCTGAGTCGACAGACCGGGATAATGTATCTACAGCCACAACATGTGTGGACTTGTCATTCCACGGGCAGTACTTGCGCCAGTTCGCCGCTGATACCTCCTCCCAAGAGTAATCGAAAGTACAAGTCGAGGAGAAAACCTTCATTTCGATCAGTGGGATTGATGAAAGATTTCCGCTGCTGCTTCTGAATCGGGCCGGGGAGGGGCAGGAGTATTGTGCAATGGATGAAACGGCGATAAAAAAAAAGCGCGTAGCGCGCAGGGAATCGAGGGACTGAAATGGCAATGAATGACTGAAGGCTCTTTGGAAACGATACAGGAAAAGAGTAAGGACTAAGAGAGTGCGACAGCAAAAATATTATAACGGAGAAAAGACTACGCAGGCCAAGAACGAAGTGAATATCCGATTCTACAAGATGAGGAATGAATCAGCTTGAAGAACAGGCTATCCAGTCTAGACGATGAAAGCAAGTGGCGATCGCAACTCTCCGGTGTGCAATGACAAAATGGGATTCCCTTTTTTTTTTTTTTTTTTTTTTTTCCCTTTCCTTCCGTCCTTGCCTACCTCTCAGCGTGCAGCCTGGATCGGGAGTTCTCGGCAGAAAACCCACATCAGCGGTAATATGGACTTAACGGTTTTTGGACATACTTCGTAGTACGGAGTACTCTGTACGGAGTACTTCAGAAGAACTACTGGGTACTACGTGCCTACCCACTTCATACTTAAGATGATTGGCATTCAATGACAAGAGATAACTCCACAGCTGATATGCATACGCATAGCGTATTAAGCTAACACCGGCAGTATAAGTCATATTTGATTCCATCCACCGTAATAAAATATCCTTTATATACACATCTTGCATTGCCGGTAGATGCTACCCTATATTCTTGGGCTCCGATTATAGCGAACACAGCTGTCAACCACTGTACTGTGGCTTTGCTGTCTTGAATGCTGAATACCTTAACTGTGAAAACACATGGAGTAGGTAATTCGCGCAGGGCACGTACAGTCACAGGCTCTCAGCCACGTTGGATGACAAATTTATGCGACACCACTGTCTTATTCCTTCCAACACCACCATTATTCAACAGTAACCATCACGAAATATGGTTGAGCTTCGAAAGCGCAAAGCGCCAACTCAACTGCCTCCCGCGGAGAAAAGGACCAGGAAAAGCCAACGGTCAAACACTGTACTGGAGGGCGTGCTCCAGGAGAAAGAATCATCCACGGTCTCAAAAGAGGTGCTCAAAGTCGGCAACCAAGTTATTTTGGATGGATTTGGTGGAGAAATTGAAACAAATGATGGCATAAAGACAACACTGAATAAGTTGGTTGATGAAAGCAAATCAGGTGTTGTGCTCTTTACATATCCTAGAGCCTCTACCCCCGGCTGTAAGTCAAACGATCGCTTGATTGTTATACTGTTTATCCCATGTCGATTACCTTTCTTTCCCTCCCTTCCTCTCCCGCGTTTTCCTCCTCCCCTTCTTTCACTCTCTCATCATAATCGTTGTGGTCTAGTCCCCTTTCGTGATCCCTCTGAAAAAACAAGGCTTATATTCTTCCAGGTACAAAGCAAGCCTGCATGTTTCGCGACAACTATGACTATTTAACTTCGACTGGGTTCTCCATCTATGGACTGTCCGCGGATTCGCCAAGAGCAAACACCACCTTCAAAACCAAACAACGTCTACCCTATCCTCTCCTCTGTGATACTACATCCTCACTGATTGCGGCTCTGGGGTTCAGAAAGGCACCTAAAGGAACAGCCAGGGGCATTTTCGCTGTAGATAAGGAAGGTACTGTTCTGCTACTACAGCCTGGTGGCCCAGATGCCACGGTAGAGGCTATGCGGCAATTGATTGCAAGGAACTCCAGTAGTAACGACTCAAAGTCGGGTATCTGACAGCTTCAGTCACCAGCCAAGGCAACCAGAAGGACAGCAACCAGAGGCAAACAGAATCAACCGCACCTATACAAGCAGGACTACTTGCAGTTTCTGTCCCCTTCGAAGTGGCTATCTACCGAATGACTACGGTTACGGCCGAGTCCATATCATTCGTTTCTAATAGACAATGTATGTAAAATTGTGCGTTTTGGCAGTTCTCCGGAGCCGTGCTCCTCAATGTTAGCCTATTTGGAAACGCTTGGCGAACCGCTCAAACAACCCATGTAGTGGTATCAATCATTCTTACAATATTCCCAGTTTAGACTTTACTAAACCATGTTCCCCTTCCAACTTTGTGGTTGTGACTATATTTGACTTACATCTACAGTGTTCAATTTATACTCACCAATAGCCCTCGTGCCATTGGCTCAAACGGACAGCAACAGTGTGCGGAAATATAGTTGTTCCGTACACGGCGACGTTTCTAACCCGACAGCTTGATTTCACCACAGGATGACAATAGACTTAATTCATTCGGGTTCTATTTCTATCTTGGGAAAGGTATAAAACAGTAATGGCCTATGTTTTTATTTTTTTATTTTTCCCCATCTCATTAATTACCTATTCTGAGAAGGTCTTGAAGCTAATTCATTAGCACAGAGTGCCTCTTATCATGGCTCGCGAGATTCTCAAGGCGGCGAAGTCCGCATCGAATGTCGTCGCCGTTCACAAGGTAAAGAGCTCTAACATACATTCCAAACTAAGGTATCATCTAAACTCCTATTCCTGCCAGAAATACACACTTCAATCCACCGGCATCTGGGAGCGTCTTCGCCGCCTTCTTTCGATTGATCCCAATCGCTCAACAGGTGTTCCATTGAACGCCCAGTTTCGTCTACCGACCCCTGGAGCTCTTCCTCCTCTTTCCTATGACGACCCGGTTACCATTCCGGCTGGTGATATCGCGGACAACCCTTATTGGAAGCGTGATGTTCGGAGGAGTTACCCTAAACTTAGCACTGTGAGCCAAGCAGATGCTGTCGGTCTTCTCACCGTAGGCAGCCAGGCTGCACCGAAGGATGATATTCTACAGATCGGTGAAGCAGGAGAGAAACAACTTATTTCAGTCAAGCAGCAGGGAGAAGAACGTGGTCTGGCTGGCTTTTTTGAGAAGGATAAGAAGGGCCTTCAGGGTGTGTTAAAGCCCAATGGTTTGCCACCGAAGCCTTGCAATATGAACCCATCAGGTTCCAAGTATCAGCTTGACCATGACCATGGCTACCCCAATGTGTACGTTGACCTAATCCCTCGTACGTGTTCTGAACTAACCACTAGGAAAAGATATCCCTGCCGCACATTTGTCTGATGATGCACTCGAGTTAGATTGAATATACATCGCATTCTTCTTTGCCTTCCACACTCCCGCCTCCCTTGCTACTATTCAAATTTATACTATTTTACCCAAAACGTACTCAGGGCGATAAATAGTGTATATGAGACTTCATAAGTAGGCAGCGCTAATGGTTCGCACTTCTATGAGTATTGGTTTTTTATTTTTTATTTTTATTTTGTATTTTTGTTTTTCTTTTGGGGCGTTGGATATATGCATATTTGCATAACCTTATGAGGCGACGAACTGCTACTGGTGGAGTGGATACGGATAACTATTATTACTTAGTAGCCAGATCAAGAAAGGTAGATTGCCAATAACTGGTACCCCCGTACCCCAAGATTATTTTATCCCAGTCTTTAAATATCTTGGATACTTCAAGCTATAGTTTCCATGGCAATCGCATCGTTGTCTTTTGTAGTTTTAAATTTCAGATTCCATGTGTTTTATCTTCCACATTACAACATTAATACCCTAAATGACACCAGAACATGTACTAAGTATACCCATGAACCGTGGCTACAAAGTTGGATAGCCCTTCCAACAAATATCATGTGCAAACATAGCAGAGACACTCTTAATCAAAAGGATTCGTACGTGTGCCCCACCAAGTCAGGAATAAACTAAGCCCGACTGTCTCGAAGACTCGGCTCACAGCACCTACAGCAACTGTTTCCAAAGGCCGCTTCTCGGTAAAAATTTGGCTGATGAACTATCATATGATGTCAGCACAATAATTCTTCTTTATAACCCGAATTACAAACAACACGTACACTTGGAGCAGAGCTAGCCATGAAAATCAGACTTCCCAGATACGCCGCGCCCTTGTAACTCAGCGTCCCGGTTGCATTAATCAGAGCAGCCACTCCATAAGTTTGCATGGCACTCCCGATTAAAGAGCTTCCCCAGGCTGCGGCAGCCCCGGCAGCCTCCTTAGACTTGATGAATTCCTCTTTCGTGTTGGCGGCCTGGGCGCGATGGTAGGTGTCACCGAAGACAGGAGCCAGTATGCCCAAGGACGCGGTGTGTGTGAAGAACGTGCCCATAGCAATAGCAGAAGGCTTCACTGGAGGCAGATCTGGTCATTGTCAATTAGCATTCGGCAGTGAAGAGTAGGAGAAGATGGTCGTCAGTACTCACAGTGAAGAGTCGTCATGATGTCAAGAGTGCGGGTAGGAGCCTAGCCTACAGTCGAAATCGAATTGAAGGTCTGATTGTTGATAGAGACGATCTGAGCTTATACTAGTAGTGAAACTCAACTAAATCAAAATGCTTCTCTGAGAAGGTTGACTTGTGGAACAGGACAGCCCTTTTCTAAAGGTCAGGGAACAGGTCACATGTTGTTGCCATCATTTACTGCAGACGTTTAATGACGTCGTCATGATCCAAGGACATAAGAACCTGGATTCAATGGCTAGTAGTTTGGCGGGCCAATGACCCGACGTTGCTTGGATCGGGTACTATTATTAAGTAGGGTCGCCTTAATTAAGTATAACTACTAGTAGTACAGTACTACAGGATGTGTTAATGTGGGGAGGGGTAACACTATGACGTCAGCCGACAGAAAACGGTTCTTTTGTTTCTAGAACGCTTTAGAGGTGACCTAAGCTTGGGCCATTTTGAACAAGATACACTAAGTTGTTGTGTTCCATTGCAGGATGTTCCATTGACTATATATCGGTATCATAAAACAAGTACTTTTTAGATGTACTCTAATAGAAGTTGTTAAGTTTTTGTGTTAGGCGTTGAACTAGTTAGAACATCTTCTGACAACATTGACATTTGGTTCCAGTAAGGAGATATACTCCCTAGTAGGAGGCCTAGACTGAAAGAAGTGGAGGTGTAACTCACCTACGTATTAGATACGGACAATGAAGAGATCTCGTTCATTCAACTCAAGAAAAGTTGAGACCCTTATTCTTGTTTGAGAGAAAATACTCTGTACTCTCTGTAGAATAATTAATACAAGACCATTACCGCTAGTGAAAGATTTTGAAATTACTCTGCAGGATCAGGTGCTATCTCAGGTTGCTATCCTTGAACCAGTAAACTATACAATTAGAGCTAGGCTAATCACAAATAATCATGTCAAGGTAGTATAAATATCTCTTCTATAAATTACATTGGCTGTACCCTGTTGTTAAAAGATACTAGTACTGCGGAGTAGTAGTTTACCTAACATGATAGATACTTACTCCGGAGTACGGAGTACATGTACCAGTACGTACGCACACCTTGATAAGTTCTTACTTCCACCATTGCCTTTTGTTTTAAAACAACATTTGGGATATATGTTATTACAAAGCAACATTAAGTATCGATAATTGTTATCTAGGTTTTTGTGTTTAATCTATTCGGTGTTTTCCTGCCCTAACCCACCACAACAAACATTCTATATATATATATATATATTTCAATTTCCATAACAAACATTTTTTTCTTGGGTACCCGCTCTTTTACCTTATTTCTTCTCTATTTAATCTATTTCTCCTGGTTCTTTCCTTTTTGTGTATTTCCTGTTACAAACGATATTCCCCGTTTCAGAGACGGCAAAAGGAAAGAGCACAGCTCCTGTGTGAGTGTAGTCTTATTACTTGTGATTCTTCCTTATTGAGCATGATGGAAAGTCCCAATTCACCCGACCAACAATCAGGGTTCAGTGAGTCTTTCGATATCAGCGAGTCGTTTGTTCCCGCAAGGGATCTCAAAAGAGCTGGCCACGCTGAAATTTCGTTTGATGGCCTACTGAAAGAACCCCTAATAATCAGGGAAGATCTTAAGGACGGATGCGGAGGCCAGCTATGGCCGGCAGGCATGATCCTAGCAAGATATTTGTTACATCAGCACCGATCTGACTTTAACAATAAGACAATGTTCGTCCGGCATCTAAGTTTCAGTGAATGATAAGGTGTTCATGGTACTGACTGGCAATGCTAGAGTCGAGTTGGGAGCTGGCGGAGGTCTCGTGGGACTTGCTGTTGCACGCGGTTGCGATATTGGGTCGTCATCGGTATACATTACGGATCAAGCACCAATGTTCCCATTAATGGAGACCAATATTAAGCTGAACAATCTTTCCTCTCGCGTTGCAGCCACGGTGCTAAACTGGGGGGAGTCTCTCCCAGATTGTATTCCGATACACCCCGATATCGTACTTGCCGCGGACTGTGTCTATTTTGAGCCGGCCTTTCCTTTGCTGATATCAACTCTCAAAAACCTCCTGGGCCCGGAATCTATTTGCTATTTCTGCTTCAAGAGACGTAGACGGGCGGATCTCCGTTTTATGAAATTAGCGAAGAAGCTATTTCACATAGTCGAGGTCTGCGATGACCCGATGGCAGAGACTTACAAGCGAGAAAATATTTTCCTATATTCAATACGTTCGAAATAGGGCACGCCTGTCTATAAGGATGAAGAGAGACAGGTAACTGAATAAAGCGAGGAGGAGTTAAAGTGAGGTAGATTTGTACATCGGCAATAGAAAATAAAGTATAAATCAACATCTCCTCGGATACCTATACTAGTACATACGATCATATAATATCAATATCAGCTACAGCTTAAGTGCATCCGCACCACTCCTTGAGCCTGTTCCTGTTGGTTTCTGGCCATGGATATCTGTGACTTCTCCTTGCTTTCCAACCAACTTCACACCACCCTTTTTCAAGTCCGACACGATTTGTTGCCTCTCAGCTGCCTTTCCTGACTGCCGGTTTTTATCGCTGGTGCTAGATTTCTTTTGCTTCCTGTGTTGTCGCCGTAATCTTGACTTCTCTTCACGGGTCATCTCTTCTTTGGAGATTGACAATCCGTTCCTCAAGACCACTTCCCCAGAAGCTTTGCCATCAGCTCCAGGCGTATAGATCTCCTGGGGGGCAAGAGCTGCTGCCCTGCTAACAGCACCTCCAGCTGTTGGTTGCGCATCCTCCATCATAATAGTTGCCACATCAGTAACAACGTTGATGTGTGCGTGTGGAATCTTGGGCTTATAGTGCCAGTTCGAGAGGGCATCCAATTGTGAACTTATTTCGTTCCATAGACTACTGATCTCAGCGTGTTCGCGCGTAAGTTTCTGATTCTTAGGATCCACGTAGTTAGGATCAGTAGCTCGGAGGTGATCAGTCTCATATAGCTCTGCAAGGCCCTGTTGAGCTTTAGAATCCTCAAGCTCAAAGCGGCTCTTTCTCCCAACCTGGCCATCAGTGATACCAGGGCGGCGGCGGATAACTTCATCGAACTCCTTGGCAAGTATCCGACGCTTAACGAGGCCTTCGATGTCTTCGGAGATCTCCGCAGTAACCACAGGGACAGGCTTTCCAATTCTCTCCACTTCAAGATCTTCCTCAATAAGCGAGTTCACGGGTCTCTCAGCGGCTTTAGCTTCGCCGGCAAGCATCCATTCTTTCTTTGCAACGTTGGCAGCTTCCAGGCGACGAATCTCATCGGCGATCCGTGCACGTTGTTTCTCGTGTGTGGACTTCTGGGTTTCAGGTTCACCTAGTTCACCATCGGATACATCACTGTTCTCAATTGAAGCGTCATCCTCGAATAAATCACGTCGTACATCGGCCATCGCACGGTCTATATCGTTGCTATTAATTGCAGCAACTGGCTGGGTTTTCGGGAGCGGACGTGACCTTTTGGTCATAGATTTGCGAGGTGGCGGCGCAAAAAAGTCAGAGTACTTAATATCACTAGTATTGACCCAATCCGCCTCTTGGGTAGTACCAGGATATGCATCGTCTGCATCTGAATCTAGCCCATCCTGAAGATTGGCATTGTTGAATGTTGGTCCTTCCTCATCGCTTGCGTCATCATCATCCATATTCTCATCCTCGACATTCCTGTTGGTCTCATTTGACGGTGATGTTTTCTTTAAAGAAGCACTAGTGTTCCCAGTGGCGAGGGGATCAGCATGCCAGTCAACTTCGTCGTCACTTTCAGATTCATCATCTGGGCCGCCCCGAGCGTCTTGTCTTTCCCACTGTTCGGACTGTTTGTTGAAATTATCAATTGAGAAGAATCCATCATTCAACCCAAAAGGGTCCTCTGTGTACGTGTCGGGTTGTTCTCCATCACTACCAGTTTCACCGGATTCACTTTCCTCGCCCAAGGCCTCGTCAATACTCTGGGAGTCCAATGTATCATGTACCGAGTCGCCTAGACCTTCCGACGCCACACTGACTTCCTCATCAACATCTGACAAGCTCCTGGTATCCTCTATATGACTGCCCAGCTCGCTGTTTTCGGAAGTTTCATCCGCAAAATCTGAGCCCTCGAAGGATGTAACATGTTCCTCCGATACAGGGTGGCCAGCATGTCGAAGACTTAACGTACAATCGCGTTGGATTTCCTGTCCAGCAGAGTCAAGGATTCTAAGTGCTTGTTCCCAGATCTGATCGGAGCCAAATCCCTCAACGAACAACTGCTTTAACTGCAATACTTCGGTGTTTCTGTCTAGGTCTGCCTCGCATCGTTTGCGTTTCCTATTCTGTCGTTGGCGGGCGGACTGGGCGTCACTAATCGAAAGAGCAAGAGGGTCCAGGTAGTATTTTGCTGATCCTACTATGGTGTCGCTTAATTGTGCTGTAGGGCGTAGAAACGCCCAGGGAGCAGATAATTCTGCGTTGAGAGCAGGATCTGTTGCAAAACCAGACATGGCACCGTGACGGTCCAGACTGCCGCGAAACGAATAGATAATATGTAAATAGTTCGATTGAGTGGATACAGAGCGTATGTATTCAATGTAGAAAGAGATGAAAATGACTTGATTTGTTTTGATTTAAATGCAAGTCCATTCAATCTTGATCAATTACAATTTAACCACTTAAAGTATGAGGGGACAAGGAAAAAAGAAAAAGAAAAAAGAAAAAGAAAGTAATTTGTCTGACCGCCTACCCTATTTGATTGTACCCTCTGGCATGAAAAGAAAAGGACCAGATAAATAGATTATTAGTACTCCGTACTGTGTACTTGTGCCAGATACTAGTGGCAATGTTGTAATCCCCGCTATCCATAAACAATACCAAGTTTCTTATATTTATACAGTTTCCTGTTTATATATGGACTGATGAAGAGACCTACTGAGCACATCGATGAACTCTCTAAAGGTATGAGTACTTATCGTGCTTAGAACATTTGTTGTCGATGCTGGCCAGCTTTCTGCCTCCTCTATTCACATTAGCTACTTAAATTGTGCCTCAACGCGCTCTCTGGTTGACAATTTGCATTTGTAATGAGTTATACAAAGGTGACTCGAGTTGAAGATTACTTTTCCGGTAAGTACTCTATATACCTAGTTATTTTTTTTCAATAAGGTACGGAGTATTGAGGTGTTTGAATACCCTATCAGCCGCTCCAGCCCAGCGCCTGACCTCTACTATACCGCGTCCTACCTCAACCACTTCAGGGCTTCATATGTACAATATATGGATTAACTATAGACACTTTTATTTTGGGCCGCGGCATAGATGTATTGTCACTATCGGGTAATCTACTTACAGTCCTTATACTAATAGGTCTTCAGATAAATTATCATTGCATAATAATACACTATTGGCCACCAGTCGCATAAACATATTTTACAGTACAGAATAGTGGCTTGCTTATAGAATCTCGGTAATGGGCACTTTATTAGACTAAATCTTTGAGACTAGGTTCAACTATTCATCTTACCACCCTTGCCATTAGGTTATATAAAAGGATTACTTATCAAGAAAGGGTGGCCTAGTATGGAAAAAGAGTTAGTATGGAGGCACGTACATACCAGAACAGATTCATGATGGAGTATGTACAGTACAGTACAATACATACCGTTGACGAGCGCGAAACTTAAATATGTACCAACCTGGGGTACGGAATACTCCATACCTACCTAGTAATAGCACTTTGTACCCTGGGCATCATACCTATTTAGTAGTCATCCTTCTGTTGTCAAGTCACGGTGTGTAATGCTTTGATGGTAGAGCAAAAATAAATCACCATCCTTAGTGTTAGTTCACTTGGTACACTGTCTTTGCTCGGAGTAACACCATGGGAGATTGATACTATATATACACTACACAGCGATTGGGCTGGCTGGAGCTTGGTTTTAAGCGTGATAGATCGCAGTCAAGAATGTCGAAGGAAAATATTTACATAGAAAGTTCCAGCCAGCGTCCACATAGGTGCTGGTATACTGTGTAAATGTACTTAGTCGTGGGGTGATTTTATTTTGGTTCGGATGCCACTCTCATATGCGCCGAAAATAGACTCCTTCAAACCCCTATTCATCACAACTAATACATTGCAATGAAAATGAAAATTGGAAGATGTGCAGGTTTGGAAGTACGTCAAGCACACAAATAAGAAGAGATGTGTCAAGCAGCGAAGATGAAAGGGAGGGGGAAGCGACAGATCTCCACGTCACTCTGAGGAAGTTATTAGCCTGACTATATTGTAGTTTCGAGGATACTTAATGCTGCATGGTAGACGTGAATATGCTCATTAATAGACTCAGATAGCTCCAAACATCGCTAGTTAGCAAGCCCTCTTTCTGTGCCTTCGTACCTTACCTAGCTAGCACCTTACGACTAAATAACAGCCTAAATCATGCAAGTCTACACAGAAAGAGCCGCCCGCGGCACTGATCACGGTTTCAAACAGGTAGGTCTGTCCTTTACGGAGGATATCGAACTAGGTGTTTATCGGCTATCCCAGGTCATCAAATACCCGTTCAACATCAGAAGAAGCCTGGGCTACAAGAAGAGCTGGAGTATCCAAAGCCGGTTTCAACCCACATACCGACCGAGGAAGGCGATTATACGTCGTATAAGGCAGCGGGGAAGCTTACTGGGAAAGAGCTATCATCACAGGTGGTGACTCTGGAATTGGCCGTGCCATTGCTATATTGTTTGCAATGGAAGGAGCATCTAGCTTGATTGTCTACTTGCCAGAAGAGGAAAAAGACGCACAAGAGACAAAGAGAAGGGTCCGGGGCACAGGACATGACTGTCACTGCTTGACTGTGGATGTTCGTAAGAAGGAGAGTTGTCGAGAAGTGGTTGATACCGCCATGCAATGTATGGGTGGCATAGACATTTTGGTGAATAATGCGGGATTCCAGAACATGATTGGGGATATTAGTGGCCTTGAAGTGTGAGTGTAAAGCTTCCTTTCGCTGTGCCCGGCGTTAAAATCATCAGAACTGATATACAACTAATAGGGATCAGTGGGAGCGCACATTTGACACTAACATCCATCCATTCTTCTACCTTTCCAAGTACGCGCTTCTGCACATGAGAAGTGGTTCAACTATAATAAATTGTGGGTCTGTCAACGCATACATCGGTCGACCTGACGTCCTTGACTAGCAACCAAGGGTGCAATCGTTGCGTTCACCAGGGCCTTGTCTAACCAACAAGTTGGAAGAGGTATACGGGTGAATTGTGTTTGTCCTGGCCCAAGTGAGTTTAGCCCCAGCTAACAATTGCATGATAACCAACTGCTACCTAGTCTGGACACTTCTGATCCCATCAACTATGAATAGTGCTGCAATGGATGAATTCAGCAGTGTGCCAATAGGCCGTCCAGGGCAACTGAGTGAAGTGGCTACTTGTTTTGTCTTCCTAGCAAGCCAAGACAGCAGCTATATCTCGGGGCAATCCTTGCATCCCAATGGAGGTGTTGTTGTTAATGGGTAGCCAGGTAAGGGCTCGGCTGAAGGGGTGGCTCTCGATACAAAGCAGGATAAAAGACATATCCATCCACATCTATATAATTAAACGGGACCTTCACAGCATACAGTAGTGTGACAGCAGCAGTAAAAGAGCTTTAGTTAACAAAGTAATAGTCTGTAGATATGAATAGCAACTAGCCTGCCTTACTGACCAACATAGAAATGATTTTAATTTTACATCTACCTTATTTGAGCCCTTGGGTTCGAATAGGAGGATAGAACATATACCAAAGATCTAGCGTCTGTACCACATGCGTGTGATTCTGGTGTGCCTCATCTTCTTCTGGAGTTGAAAGATTCCGTACATCAATGCCTCGGAGGTCGGTGGGCCTTCGGATTAGCGGTCAGCAAATGTTCATAAAAAATCACGAGATCATAGTTACGGGTGCAAACGAACATCCAGGAACATAAACATCAACAGGGACGATCCTATCGCACCCACGAACAACGGAGTAGCTGTAATGATAGTAGCCACCACCATTTGCACAGCTGCCCATGCTAACAACCCAACGGGGGTCAGGCATCTGATCATAAACCTGCCTGAGAGCGGGTGCCATTTTGTTCGTTAACGTGCCAGCTACGATCATGACATCTGACTGGCGGGGAGAGGCTCGAAAGATAATTCCTAGGCGATCTTGATCATATCTCGGGGTAGACAGATGCATCATCTCGACAGCGCAGCAAGCGAGACCAAAAGTCATAGGCCAAAGAGAGCTCTGACGTGCCCAGTTCGCAACTTGGTCCAAGGTAGTCCTAAGTACAACGTTAATCACGTATATAAATTCCAATCCTTTAGGGACACAAACAGCACATATTGCATCGCACCCTCTTTCTTCTCCTGGCTCGGTAGAGGTACCTCCTTCCGTATCTTTCCAGAAGCAGTCAGCGGCTGGCCGGAATGTCCTTGGTGCTCAAGCGCTGTGGCCGATTTATTTGGAGTAGTTGATAGATGTGCAACTAGTTGGATTCGAGGAATCGATGAGACCAAGCGTGGTCGTGCTGCTTAACATGAGCGAAGCTCAAAAGACTCTCAGGCGGAGAATTGCTCACCATAAAGGGCACCCGGAAGGGCGCGCGCAGATAAAGGAAGCATGGCAGCTGTAGCTGGGTTTGATATGAGGTTCCCTGTGAAGATCCTTGGGTTGAGTACCGAAAGATGTTGCAACGACTTCAAAATGTCACTTGCTGGTGGTAATTATGATACCAGAAGGCGAAGTGTTGCGGCTCTGGACTGACGGTTCTGCACTAATGGTACACTAGCCTTTGCTTTACTGTTATAATACAGACTTTTACCAAGAAATGGTGTATTGGGAGCTCATTTCGCGTACAGTACCGTAAGGTGTATCAGCCTAGGTGTCTATCAGGTAGGTAAGTTAAATTCTAAACTACATCATTGGGTCATTTTAATACCATCTTGTACCCAATCTAGGTATCTTATCTACACTACCAGGTATGTTGTACCCACATTGGGTTGTATGTAACTTGTTCATTCAGGCGATGTACTGGCAGTACTTCCCAACCAGGTGAGATGCCAAATTTGCGCAAGTGAAGTCACCCTGAACTCGAATGCCTTTAGAGATAAACATAGTTCCGTACCGCCGTGGATCATTCTAGTTACAGATATATATCTCCAGAATGTCAGGACCGAAAATTGCTTGCATCGGTATAATTGGAAAGGCTGTACGATAACTATGGGTCGTTCAAGATGGCATGCTAATGCTCTAGAAGGATAACCCTTTGCACATCTCGCTTTTCCCTCCTTACGTGAATTCTACTGTTGAATTCTCGTTCTTATTGAACGCCTGTCTCGATATCTTTGAGATACGACAGAAGCAAACTTCAGTCGATCAAGACCTAGGCCTCCTGCACGCCGTCGATGAAAAACTCGCAGCATATGGTTGGCTAACAACTACTGGAGTAAAATTACTGGTCATTATTGATTTGATCGGACAACCGGTTCCAAACAGCATCGAGAAACCAAAAGGATTTCCGAGGACTGGTTCCAAAGATCCAGACCTGAAACCAGTAAGTCTTGTCTCGGAAGGCCTATGTCGAATATGCTTTTCTTGGTTTCAACACACTTGTAAAAGCCCAAATTAACAATGAACTTTTAGGTTTTCCGAGCCTTGCAGACGGCCTATATCCGGCTTTTGCAAAACCCGTTCTATTCTCCAGATGATCATGTCCCTACAATTAAAGCTGTTGCACCTGCATCGAATTCTTTGCAAATTACAGACAACAAATTCATTGCGGAGGTCAGGCATATTGGTGAAACATGGGCACCAGATGCGGCTATACCTTGAAACGATCCGGTGGCCCAAGCTTATGGTAGAGTCCAACTCTCTAGGTATGTGAAAGGAGTAACTGTGGCTCATAATCATTCGCAGGTGTAAAATGTTCAGTATGATTTGACATAACCTATAATAGTCAGTGAGGCAGACTATGCGCCGTTTTAATCTTATTGGCCCGGTTTACTTAGTCCACACTTGTTAACCTTGAAATGGCAAGAAGTTGCAAGATGTCGCTATCATTTTTATGGCAATGGCACAGATGAACTTCTGAGACCACTAATTTATGGGACAATTGAAAAATATTAGTCGCCCTTGCCGTACTATCGCTGTTCGTGTAAGTGCTATCAAAATAATTAATTGACAGCAATGAATCCACCAGCCTGAGCATACCTGTACCTGTAATGGGTTAATCACACGAAGCTTCAAATTCAGTCTGTTCGAGACTCCTGACGATATCTTCAAGCTCGCGAGGATCACAGATTGCCCAAACACCACCTCCTTTGGCCATTACCTTACCGACCTCCTTTCCAACCAGATTCCTGCCGACTTTCCCCGGCCCAATGCCAACCCAACGCTTTACACCCCTCTCTTGGTCTAGATACCTGATACTGTCCCACCATCGCACAGTATCAACACACTGTTGTGAAAGTAGCCTCTTTAGTTCCTCTTCTGAGCGGAACGGAAGACCAGAAACATTTGAAACACACGGTATACGTGCTGGGAAGTTGAGTTTGATGTTGTCAAGAGCACGGATCATATATTCTGCCGCAGGCATCATTATGGGACTGTGGAAGGGGCTTTCACTGTTCAATCTCACTGCACGTGGATCGTGACCTCCAAACTGGCGAAGTTGGATAAGAAGTGTTCTTATCCTTTCAATACTTCCGCTCAACACTATTTGATTTTTAGAATTGATATTTGCCACCATCACTTTCTCAATAGGCGGCATTCCGTAATTTAAATCATCTTTCATACCATTTGATGCAAGGCCCAGGAATTCATGGATTGCTGCGAGCAAACCGTCAAGATGATCAGGTTCGCAGACGAGTGCCACCATTCCATAATCCTCGCCAGATTCCATGGTGGCTTTTCGAGTGCATTGGGCCATGATCTCTGCTCGCCGTCGGACTAGCTTTAGAGCGTCACCGAAATCAAGATAGCCCCCAGTAACCAGTGCAGAGAACTCCCCCAGGCTATGACCAAGGGTGACATCCACACGAGATTTCGTATCGAAGCCAAATTTTTGTTCTAAGATTCGAAGGATCAATATCGATGTCGCCATGATAGCAGGTTGAGAATTCTCAGTCTTGTTCAGTTCTGAGTTCGGTCCTTCGGCAATAACACGAGAAAGCCGAAACCCCAGTACACTATCCATTTCATCTAAGACACTCCCAGCGATGTCTGGAAAGCTATTGATCCATGAAGACACCATTCCTACGCGTTGTACTCCATGACCTAACAAACCGTTAGCCAAAATGGCAACCTGTGGTAGGAGGCTGGCTGGTCCGGACCTGGGAAGAAAAGAGCTGTGCGTAAGGTAGCCTTCCTGGAAACAGTATACCATCTTCTTTGGTATCTGATGAGGAACAATGACCGGTATGACACATGATGCAAGGTACTTTTTATATACAAAGTATAATTTGAGCTAGGGGCAGAGAACATCTTAAAAGTCGTCGAGGAGCGTAACCCTGTGGGGTCTCATGGAAACACTAATAGTATAGTATGTAAGCATTGTGAGGCATAGGAGAGACCTATGTAGTTAACTCTCAACTACGTTGACCAAGGACTAAAATCTAAGCAACAGCTAGTAATCACAACTGTATACCACGTGATCCATCCAGAGACTAAAGCGCTGACCGCCTACATAATCAATCAATAAATTATCTCTGACAATGATACTACCTATCAATACGAGAAATTGTACTTTATTTATCTAAAATATACGCGCCCCCTTCCTTTAATTCTCTGTTTTTTTAATGGCTTAGATACAACACGATTTTGCGGTGGCCATATTCATGTTTTTCTGAGTAGCTCCGACAATGTTCTTGCCAAAAGCCGCGATCTCGTCGGCATCGTCCTTGCGCAATCCTCGAAGGCGCCAACGTACAAGCTCTGATGAACCGGTCAACCCCCCCAAAGCTAAAAGGCAACGGTCCAGTTTGCGTCATGGTGGATCAGACATCTTTTCAGAGGATCCAAGCGAGTTGCACGAACATGAGCTTTGCTCAACAACTATTGCTTCCCAAGACCTTGAGCCCCAACTCGCAGACAATGTTACTTTCCAGGAGAGCATGCCAATTAGAGGTCCAAAGAAGTTAGAGAGACGAGGCGAGGCTGACGGGACCATTGTCCTCGTAAGTTGTGCTTGGTCAAACTATGGCTCTCCTACATGAGTTGAAAGACGGTTCGCTGACGCTATCACGCATAGTCCAAAACCGACTTTTACAATGTTTTGCAATTACCGGCCTTGCCAGATCAGATCCGCGGACTACAATCAGGCAAGTATTGCCCATTTCTTCGCGATTCATATTGTTAACACGAAGACAGGATCCTATAAATGCTTCTTTGGTGCTGGCAATTGCTACGCCTTAGCCATGACGCATTCCCATGCAATTATCTGGCTATACTCAATTGCCACTTCCTCACCCTCACCCGCCGATGTGTTTACTATTTCCATACCCGAACCCTTCAGGGAGCCAAATGGGCCAATTCCTCTTGGAATCTTACTATCTAGTGTAACAGCTGGGATTCCAGGATTGATGATCATCGCTCCTGACACAGGGAAGATTATATACTGGGAAACTGTCTCATGTGCTGCTTCATTGGGCCTGGCCAGGCAGAAACAGAGGGCCATCCAGGGATGTATACCTAATCTTCTCTCAGGTGAACACATTACAGATCTCGTGAATGGCGAGCCTTCTGGTATTATAGTCACATTATCGTCAGGGAGGGTTGCTCATATTACCGTTCGGGATCCACAAGGAAAGCCGACAGTGACTGTTTATTTCCTGCGAAATACGTCTGGGCTTGGTAGGATTGGGTTTTTCGGTGGAATTAGAAATGTCTTGGGTGGAGGGTTTTCAAGGAAAGACCTAGCTGCAGTCAGAGCTGGTGATTCTCATCAACGTGGACAGCGAGATATCATAATCGCTACGTCAGGCGGTCTCTTTGAAATTTGGGACACGCATTGGAATAACGGGAGTATATTGAAGAAACAGTTTGATATAACAAATGACCTATGCCATCATCTTGATACGGAGAACTCCAACAGATCTGATGACTCCAACATCAAGATCTTGGACTTTACACTCATGCCGGCTGGATCGAACGTCCGTGGGCTACGAGCTAGCGCGTCGGTACCATCGTGGCATTTATTGCTACTTGTAACTCAGTCTGAGATGGGCTCGCAAAGCATGTCCCTTGTGCAAGTCAATCTAGCCGAGCAAGTCCATATCTTGTCTACCCACCCTATTGATCTCCATGGGGCCTCGACGGATCTTGATTCAAAACCGAAACTGTATCTTCCCAAGCCCGGTGATACGGCATTCGTTTTAATGAATCACTCTGTTGTACTTTTATTCTTGACTCCAGGCAAAGACCAGTCCGCGCAACATCAACAACCGCGCGCGTTCCAGGACTCTATCAGTTTCCGCTCAGGAAAAGCCTTTGAAATTCTAGGCAGTGGCGTTGAGGACAAAAGCGATGAGAACTGTCCCGCATGTCTGATAATGGTCCGTGATTTTGGTATCATCCGCATTACAGCTTTACCACAGCACAACTCGTGTTCCACTGAATGTGTTCGAATTACTGCTAAGCAAAAGATTGAGCAAGCCATATTCTATGGTACCATGCTTGGAAACCCACTGAATTTGAACAACAAGAGTAGCCTGGATTTCTCTGTCATGGATATCGAGCAAGCCGCGTTGGAGATTTGCAGAGAATTGCTCCAATCTAGGTCAAATTTTATCCCAGTGACAGCAATATCCTTAGAACAGAATCTACGATCGAGAGCAAAAGCTTTGGATGATCTGGCATGCCTTTTGATGCATCAAAATAAGTCATTAGGTCAGCAAACTTGGTGGGAGTTATTATGGGGCGCGGAGAAACTTGCGGCTCAGAGGGCTATGTGGAAGATAGAAGAAAGCTCTAAGAAATTAAAGGGCAAGGGACCGACCTTTCTTGCCCACGTTATCAACTCGATGAGTGACAAGTTTAAGACACGAGTTGAGAAGCAAGACGGCGAAGTTGATTCCGTCCGCAACTGGTTTCTCTATGATACATTCCAGATGGAGCATGTTGTTCCATGGATTTTCAATGCCATTAAGCCAAAGAAAGGGCACTCGTCGAGACAAGGACGAAAGATGTCGGAACAAATACTGGAAGCAAGTGAGCTTTCTTTGGCAGTCTTGGAGACCGCATTTAGATTCCGTGATGAGCACGCTAGTCGGTATGGTATTCGTGACGGGTATCTCGAAGATGGCCTACTAGTTACCGGCTTCAAAGGTCTACCGGAATTCTGGACGTCTCAAAATTTTAGTTATGTTGAAACGGGCCATTTGTTGGATCTGGAACTTGATAGTTGCAGGGCTTGGATTCAACAAGCAACATCTGTTATCGAAGCCCCCGAGAGCCTAACAGTGAAGAGAATTGCGGGAAACGCTGCTAGACAACTCTATGTCCTAGGCCAAATGCATTATGAGCGGGTCCGGTGGCTTTCTGCCCAGGAGGACCCCAAACTGGTCGATGAGGGCATCGCTACCGAGCAGACCCATGTTAAACTACGCAAGTGGCGACTCTTCAAACTTGCTGGTATTGGAAGATTAGAGGATGCCATTACGTTGGCGGAAAAATTTCGAGATATGAGTGCATTGGTAGAACTCATCATTGAACTTCAAGATCAAACAAAGAGCGAAATTCTACCCCCAAATTCCCGAAACGATACGTCAGATCCTATCAGCTATGATTCAGATCATCTCAACAAAAAAATTTCTCTTTACTTTGAAAAGTTCGGGGAATCATGGGCAAATGCATTTTTTACCCGGCAAATATCGATGCGTCAGTCGGGAATACTGTTCGCCATGAGGAGGTTCCAACCTTTTATCACTCGATTTTTGCGTAAGGATGTAGCCTATTCGCGACTGGGCTGGGTTAATGATGTGATTGGTGAAAATGACTACAGCGCCGCCGCTCAGTCGCTGGAAAAACTCGCAATAGGAGGGGAATCTGATTTATGGAGTCATCGTGTCGAACTTTCCCTAGCGAAACTTGCCAAACTAGCAACATGGGAGGAAACCAATACACCGAGCCATTCGGGTTTTCACAGCGAGATACGGCATCTAGAAGATCTCTCTGAAATAGATGCCGTCCAAGAACTCATTTACGCCTATATATCCCCGGCCTTACAGGGTGCAATTGATCAAAGAGCTGAGGTTGACCTAGCCATTGACCACTTTGGAAAAAGGGTTACCGAGGATAGGCCTTCTCTACATGAACTACTTAGTGAAGCTCTCACTAAAGTTGTCACAAGGCAAATCATTGATACTCACCAATTGGTCGATATATTGACATTGATGGATTCTGACCAAGCATCAAAATATGGTCAATCAGAATTATCCGGGAAAGAATTCTACCTGGCCTTGCGTGTCATTCGTCTCGGGACTTATGCTCAACGAGATTCACTCAGCCATATCACTATGCAGAAGCTAGTGTGGCGACGGTGTATGATAAAAGATAATTGGGTGGCTACAGGAAGGGCAGCCGAGAACATGGACAATGGAAGCGAGCCCTTTCTTTACGATACGGCCCTTTTCCGCACTCTGGGTCTGTGTCTTAGAGACAGTAAGTACTCGCTTTAGGGACACTTACGGTCAATAGATGAACTAACACCACAGCAGGATACAATGAAGACGCTAGCTACGCATCCTTGTACATCCCAACTTCTCCACATGATGTGTTTCTAAATGGATCGGACTCCGAACTTCTCTCCGCGCGCTTTCGACTGGAGCAACGGACACGGATCATACATGATCTTGAGAGGGAGAATGAGATCCTACATGAAAATGTGGAAAAAGGAAGGCTTGATTTTTGGTTCAAGAATCTTCTCGGCTCTGCAGAAGAGTCCGCATCAACCCCAATCCCCCCGACTTTTACTTCAGAAGAGTACAACAATAACAACAACCAGCAAGGGAAGCGGTCCCCGCAGCAAAACGAGGGGTCTAGTAAGGCGCGGCTAAGATGGCTTTGACCTTTGGTTGGGCCTCATTATTTAGGCTCACAATGTGCACGATGCTAAGCAAGTTAGGACAGTTATGTCAGCGCAATTATGCACTTACACCTATTGTATGTAATTTGACCGGATACAAAGGCAGAATTTAAGTTATCACGGCCCTCGTGTGTCTGCTAATTATCTAATCGTCCGTCATTTGTGAAGACAATCTGAATTATGAATAGTAATTGCTCTTGATCACAATGAGTTTGAAAACTCCTGCGCACTATCTACTGCTAGGGGCTTCGATGAAAATAGTTACAACAATGCCAACACTCATGTGGGACGGAGCCCATGGCCCTGTTATACCAGTGTCTTATCGGAACTAGCGACTCCGTCAAGATTTATCACATTGTTTCCATATCCAGATCTTTCTTCACTTTGCACACCATGGAAGCTTTCTTCGAACACAGGCTCTGGCTCAATCGTCTCAAACTTGGTTTTAAAATCCGCTATTCCTTGAGTGCTACTATTGGAATGGCGCCGAGCGTTTGTGAATGTGTACTCATAGTCATGGACTTCGTCGCCCGACCGACCCCTAAGTATACGGTTAATGAGTCATGGGGCGGGGATGAGCCAAAAAAAAAAAAAAAGAAAAGAAAAGATATCTCACCAATTTCTCTTTCCCCCGCCATCTTTTTTCGTCTTCCGGGGATCGGCATCAACGGGGCCAGATTTTGCAAAGTAGCGAGGAAGATGCTCTTGGGATACAGCTATTCCATCATGAAGTACGCAGTGGTCACGATCGTTTAGTTTGTGAGAGCGCGTCACTGGAGACGGGTCAGCGATATAGGCAGGGCTTAGTATGGGACTTGGTCAACGATGTTAGAAGGCAGGGTTGTGATAAACTCACTTATGAAAACGCTCGCCTATGTTCTAGATATCAACACACCCACCGGAACAAAATGAGATTTCTAAAAGGTAGGAGGGCATTAGCGGGGTCAAGAGCAGACTGCAAAGCAATCACGGGATGACTTGACACAGTGGCTCGCGTCCCTCGTGGGGTATCACGCCCACTCACTACACAAGTTCGAGGGGATTCAAGAAAATGGGTTATAAACAGTGTTTGAAAATGTAATGAGTATCCAGGAAATTATCGAATCCTGCTGCATACAACCACCTCGAAGAACAAGTTCTATGCAGGCTGAGGTCTTACTAAAAGAACCATTCCAAAAGTAACGGGAGTTATGTGCATACCTTAATAGCATGTATGACGCGAGGTCACCATTTACCAATAATCCAGATTATTGGGTGTGACAGTATACGATCAACTCTTATTAGGCTGGTTGCTGCTAGCTATAGCAGTGGATCTCAATGATACTCACATTCATCCGATAAGGAGAAGGGTTAGGAGTGTTGAAATATTTAATATTGGATGGGTAGCATACCATATGCCAGCAGTCATGTAACAAGGAAGGGTCCGATTCTCGACGCGGCCTATACATAGCACATACGTACTTGACCTGTTTTGTCCACTTAGCAGTGAGCAGGCTAAGCCAAGACGGGGACTCATGACCTCATAGTTGCTCATGCAGATGCGGGGTTCACAATTGCCGAAAGATTCCATGCGGGGAGAAGGGGCCATTTAGTTCGAGGCCTACCCGTCTCACCGCCGACCCCCATTTTAGTAGGGGGACAGTGTACCGGTGGATGACTAAGCTTGCCGCCTAACGTAACTTGTAAACAACCCGCCACTGCAAACGAGCCGCCATCTTCTGTTTTCTATAGTAAACAGCCTATTTTTGAATAACAATATCTCAGCCAATTCAGTTTATCTCTACTTAAAAATTAATATATAGCTTATTCTATAGTAGAATAGTAATACATATATAGTTAAAATCTTTTTATACTCTAATTACTAAGATAAGATTAAATATAATATATTATATAATATATATATTATAGACCCCTGCCTAGTATATCTTTATCGAAGGTGGACACACAAGACAGAATATTATAGGATAATAAGAACTGAAATTAACTATAAGGTATTAAAGAATAACTATAGTAAATATCTAATATGATAATAAATAAAAAATCAGTACTAGCTTAGTTATATAATATCTATTTTAGAATCTATTCTAAAGAGAGTATACCGGGAGTATACAGTATTAAAATATTATAATTAAATATACTCTATTACTTATCTTTAAAAAATTATAGTAGAAGTAGTTATAAAATATATAAAAATATTTATTTATATATTTAGTTTAGTTCTTTGTGATTTTCGAATCAGAGCACTCCTAGTACAAATAGCCTCACCGAGCGCCATCAACTACCAGAATACTGGAACCAATCAATTCCCTACCAGACCTGCTTGACAACCTGTTGAACAAAGCCAAGTAGACTATTAAATAGAATCCTAAATTAGTAATCTACTTTACAGTAATATAGTATTAGATTAAACTTAAATAAAAAATATAAAAAGATACTCTTAATTTCTGAGTTTAGAGAATTTTTAGAGATTTTATTTAATTTAATATAAACTCTATATTTACTGAAATTATATCTAGTAATATATCTAAATTTATATAATTCTCTTAAAAATTATAGAATAGAGAAAAATTTATAGTAACTAAAGATATATTAAATTATATCTAAATTTTTAAAACTGATTTAAATAAGTTAATAAAAATATAAAAAGCTAT